TGCCATTTTTGCCCTCTATTCCCGTCGCCACCGGGGAACAAATAGCTTTCCAGCCGAACACTATTGTTTGAGATCGAAGTCACAATACGAGGCAAGATCGAGCAGAATCATACAGGGCATTGCCGGATCTGGCCATCTCTGCAGGAGATCCCTTCTTGTCCCTGCTGGCGGCCCTGTATGGGTGGACTGAGACATCCGCGGGTGTTCAGGTGCTGCTGCCAATGAACTGTCAGGACACGTCTCCTCCAAGCTCTTTTTCTCGTTGCTTTTTCTCTCAACCTGAATTACCTGGTCGCGAGCCAAACCATTCTGGTCACGAACCTTCCGCTTTTACATCATGGTCGTGCCGTGTGGGAACGGCAGAAAGAAACGAATCAAGAGCCTTCGTTTTTCTGCAAAGTATGAACACTTAGCGGTTTTGGGTGATTCTGTGAGACACTATTGAATGTGTCTTCCACCAACACCAATTCCCCCCACGTTGAAGTCCTTTACCATGGACCGAATTCTTTCTACTCTTTCTCGTTGGTGTCCTTTTCCTCTCACTCGCACTCGCACGCACGGAATGCCTTTACTATCCTCACCTCCGTCTCCCCTGTCGTCATTCACACCCTGCGGCATTTCGCAATTCAACATCCGGCTGTTAGTGAAGTTGCCGATTTCTTGCACTATTCCACTCAAGGGCAGATTAGAATTGCCAATGAGCCTAGATCACGGTCTCGAACGCAATGGTCACTGCGGCCGTGCTTAGGCGCGTTCTTGATGCTGGCGATCTTCTGCCGGGGTCACTGAGCTAGTATCGCCTCAATTCCTTCCCAAAAAGATGTTTCAACCGCTCGTCAGTGACGAAGTCAGTTGTATCCGCACAAAAATATCTGGCATCGCAACCCGTTTCGTCGTCCCCGCCTTACCTTATTTCCCTCCGAGACCTTGACTCATTCATCGACTGAAAGGCCCGTTCCCTTTAAACAGGAACACGACGGGTCTCATCGGCGATGAGAAGCTCGGCAGCCTACTAGCAAATGAAGATTCACGGCAGTTGTTTATGACTTTGCGTTTTACTGCTCGACGGCTTCCGGCGGCTTGGTCCCAGCACAAGGCGGAAATCTCCGAAGCAGAAGTTATTGACAGGCATGCTTCGAAGGCGCCTTGTCTGATACGGTAGCATTTGATGGGGCTGTCAAGGCTCACTGTGACCTATCTTGTCCGCCTCGTGCTCGCCAGGACTCAGTCGTCACAGCTTCCGAGGCGCGGTGGCCGTGGGCTCTTTTTTTCCTAGCCCCGGATTTACTGGGTGACATCGTCTCAGGCACGACACTGAAGAAAGCCACGATGTGGCCTGATATTGGGTATTGCCATCTCGTACCCGAAGTCTCGACCCGATAGTCGCTTGATCAATGACCACGTTGGGCATGGCCAACGAAGAGAAGGTTTCGCGAAAAAAGAATGATCGCCATACGAAGCAACGACCGCGCCTCCGCCCTAGCCACAATTGAACCTAGCGCCTCTGGCATGTGGCAGCGAGCTGGAGGTGTTTCGTGGCCAGGAAAATCAACCAAATAGGTAGGGACTACGAGTCTGGCCTGGCTCGGACTGATGAGGCCAAGATTGTTTGTTCGATGCGCCAGCCACAGTGCTACGTTGCCAGAGAGGCTGATTCAGGGAGAAAAGGGTCCATGGAGGGAGGGCCCTCGTAGACGGTTTGTTTGTCACGGCTCACCTGAAGCCGGAGCCGAAAGCCGGGGCCCAAAAAGCCGGTTCTCGTCTCGTTTATACGATTTGCAGAAGCACTGGGTTCATCGTCGACACGCATGTACTTCGTAGGTGGTTGTGCGACTACGCGGCTGCTCCGCACTTTCGTCACCCAACTTGCTCTCGCTTGTTCGGTAGAGTTCCTGGAGGCTGGGGCTTGCATATGTCGGTGATGGCTTCCCTGGGTGTTGAAGGGCTGGCTATCGACTTACGCAGCGCACACTCACCCGCTCACACGCCCCCCTCCCCCTTCGAATCCACTTCTTCACCGGTCGTCCGTCGTTGGCACGCTCCTGCGTCTCCTACCGGAGGAGGTTTCCTTCCGGGTGGCCCAGTCGCAAGAGCTGCGAAATCCCGGGTGGAGGAGGCGACTTTTGGGCCGCAGGAGCAGCGGCGGCGACGACGGCGGCGGCGCGGATCTTGGCCCTTAGCGGGTAAGTTGACGAGCAGAAGGGGGAAGGGTCGGGGGGTTTTAGTGTAGGGTCCCGCATCGGATCTTGCGCATCACTGCATCGATAGACGCGGATCCCGGCCGACGGCTTCATGGGTGAGAGGGTGAGAGCCTGGAAGGGCAGAAAGGGTATTCGTAGAGAGATTGGCCAAGGATCGGCTTTCTGGTTTGTGAGATGCTGCTGATGTTGCTGCTGCTCATGTGGCCCTCAGTGCCGTGTTAGACGTCGTTGCTGGGGCGGGCTGTTCCCTTTCGGTATCTCGATTCCGCATATCCTTCCACTGGTTTGACTTGGTTCATCCAAAGATCGACACAGCTCTAATCTGTGGTTTTGTAAGATTGGCGGAGGGATCCAGATTCCCAAGATGAACACACATTCTTTTTTTTTTTTTTTTTTTTAAATTCGCAAGTGAGAAAACGGGGGAGGTGTCACAAGTGGTTAGCCAAGCATATCTTCCCCCCGGTCCCCTTTATTTTTTGGGACAGCGCCGCACGAGTACATTTCCAGATCCGGACGAAGCTTCGATTTATTGGGACGACCCTCGAGTCCCTCCAGATCGATGTTTCGAAACCTTGGCCATCATCATCACGACGCGTTCTTGAAGGGGCATGAGGGGCTGGGGTTGGTAAGGGGGTTTCGAAGGTAGATATGGGGGTGGGAGAGGGGGTTATCCATTTGGGGGCCCTTGGCCCCCTTCCTCCAGGCTTCCCCTGCTCTCTGTCTCTCGGATGGGACTACCAATGGAAGGAATCTGGAGGGGTTCATTCTTGCGTGTATGTATTCTTGATTTTCTTTCTGGGAAGTGGTCTTGGATTTCTGGAGAGATGGATGAGACACGGGTTGCTTGCCGTATTCGTGGGGTGTTTGCTTATTCTACGGGAAAGAGAGGGACCGTAGGTAAGTAGGTCATAGGGCCTCGTCCGTTTTTTTTTTTCATGTTTCGTGCTTTTTTTTCCTTCCAGGGGTTTGAGAAAGGATTCTAATGTACCTTACGCAGTATACGCAGTATTAGTACTAGGTAGTTTAAGGTCGTTGTTGCTTTTTCTTAGATGGGTTGGTGATGTGCGCCGCCCTGTGCCTCCTTAGTCAAGTCTGACAAGTCAAACTTCTTTTTGGTCCTGACAGGACGCAGTGCAGCCAGTGGGTCCTTTCCCCCTACCATGCCTTTCTTTATTTATTTATTCCTGGCTTTACGCAAAAGGTACATCTAACCCCGTTTTTCCCGGGCGATGAAGGCCGAGATGATTGCACCGACCGACCGCCCGGCGGCGCAAACACGGGGGGGGGGCGGTACCTAGCTCACAGGAACGAAGCCGGGGGGTGCGGCTGGCTGGCAGTTGGGGCGGGCGGGCGGGCGAGCCACGAGCCTAGGTTCTATCCGTACCGTTGTCTGGCATGTGGTGAGGTGTCGTTCTCTTATAATTTTGTTTTTATTTTGTTCTTTCTTTAGTTTTTTCTAGGTGTAACTGTTGGTGGGCTAGGCAGGTAAGGCGGGGCGGCCGGGGGTCGGTCCTGGGAGGGGTTCGGTGATGCGCTTTTCCTCGAGTTTGCCCTTGTCCGCTTGTTCATGTGAAGCTACGCTAGATGATGCGGGCTGAGGACGGTTGCGTCGATCGACGATCCTTGCCTGGGAGGTCTGGAGGGGGGAGGTGTGGGAAAGAGAAAAAGAGGAACTGTTACTGGCTGGTTGGTTTGGAAAACTTGGGATATTTCGTGCCATTGCTGTGGACGTGATGGGCGGGAGAGAGAGGGGGGGAGTGAGTGGACATGCGGGAAGTTTTTTCTTTGGTTCGACCGAGTTGCGGTTGCCGTAGGATGGGAGGGGGGTTACAAGGTGTTACTAGGGCTGGCTCGGCATAATTCCTTTTTCCCAGCTTTTCCCATGGATGATGGGTGCTGCAGCCTGCGGGTTTTTGTGGATGTTGTATAAGAAGCGTTCAGACGTTTCTTGAGAGGTGAGAGAGGCGAGTGTGTGGAGTCCGTGGGATGCAAAGGGCTTGCTTTGGATATTTGCTTTTTCTTACTATTTGGGTATAGACGCCGCTGCGGAAGGACGGTAGGCGGAGGTGAGGGAGAGTGGGGATTTCGTCTTTGTCCGAGGGGGTGTGTGTTGTGCAGCGTTGAGATGTGGTAGATGATTTGGATACAGAGAGAAAGGGACACTGTTGAGCTTCATTCCTTTCTTTGAAAACATCTCAGGAACCATGAATGGAAGCATGTTGGTTGAAACCTGCGATTTGGGAATATAAGAGGCCGGGGGGGGTTAATGGGAGTGTGGGTTTGGATTACCCATCTACTAAGCTAGTATCGACGAGATCTGTCTACCCACCCTGACGTCGTGCCTGTACTTCATTCTGACAGGCTGCTGCTCTGCTCTGCTCCACCGGTGCGATGCCGAATGCGATGCGCGCAAGGCACGCACGGGGAGGAGTTGTCCCGGCAGGCGGAAAGAACAATAAAGAGGGGAAGTTGAGGTGCTGCGCGGGCTCGGGGACCGGCCGATGGTAACTCGGTGTGAGACTTGCAGGTTCAGGGACCGGGGACCGGGCGGGGGTATCGGAGAGAGAGAGCCGTGGCACGGTCACGGCGCTGCGCTGCGCTCAGGGAGAGGTTCAGTGTGGCGTGGGCGCGCGGCAGATCTTCGGTCAGCTCGAGAGCACAGAAGGAGAGGTGGCGGCCGGAGATATCGGGTGCCGAGAAGTCGTTCCACGGCATAATTAAAGGATCTGGTACTGAGGAATGTTGAAAACGCTGGTAGACTAGAGAGCTAGTGTCGTTGGATGTAGGGAAGAACGTTTGTTAGAGGAGGGCCGGTGCGAGGCGCACCGGGAGGGCGGCGGTCCGGCTTGGCCCCCGCCTGCTTTTTGGGAGGGTCCGTGGTCTGGACCTGTCTCTTTGAGGTGTGTCATGCGGGCTTGTTGGCAGCGGCAGACAGAGACTCAGAGACTCAGAGACTCGGAGACTCAGACAGCGCCAGCAGCCCTGCTGAGATGGAATGACGGAGGTCTGGAGTCTCTGAGTCCCCTTTTTCTGGAGGGGATCATCGAGAGCTGCAAGCTTGAGCTGTGGCACATGTACTTTGTAGCCTAGTTATATACGTACGGATACATTACCTTGATCACGCATCTGGTAGGGAGCGATGGCGGGTATTACCTATTGCAGGCAAGGGAGGTAAACCGGGATCTCTGGCGCTGACGTAGGGATCAGAAAGGAGGCCGGGGGTCGTCCAGCATATACTTGCTTTTTCCCGACTTTTGGTTTCGTTTCCTGATCCCACAACCCTATGCACGAAATGGATAAGATGAGCAACAGGGTAGCTAGTTAGGGGATAGATAGAAAGGAAACGGGCACGACGGGGAAAGCTGGCTTGTGGGAGCCTCTCTAAGCCGAGACAACAAAACAAGAGATGAAGATCGAGGTGAAGATCTTGTGATGGAACTGGTTAGAGCCTCGTCGGCGCAGCCTTTTTTGTCTTGAATTCTTGATAGGGTTGGGTGTCTTTGCGTATCCAAGGTACGCGGTCTCTAATTTCAGACAATCAGCTCCCAAGACGTTTTGTTTCTGAAGCCGCATTCTGAATTGACCTGCCTATCGCGGTATGGAGGGCGACGGATGGTTGTCGACCTCGACTCCGTTTTGGGATATGAGATGTGCAACAGGGAGGCTTTAGTCCGAAGGGCTTAGCGTTTTGTAGTTGAATAGTCAGGGCACATAAGGGTAGAGGCAAGCACGGCAAGTGAGGATAGGGCTGAGAAAGTTGTGGGCTTCTTCGTGTGCCTGAGTAAGCGTTGCCATAACGTCTTTTCTTTTCCTGTCCATCTCTCTTACCTGACTTCGGACTAGGTTCGGCTCTTGCGAGAGCTTGGCCTTGACTTTGATGGGGGTCTAGCGTGGACTGGTTACGCGAGAGGTTTCCAAAACTGGATAATGGGATTCCTTTGGGAGGAATCGAAGGATGATGGAGGTTGCCCAAGAACTAGTCATGATAGTCCTTGCAAGGGAGAAGCAAAGGGATGGGTACTGTGGGAGGAGTTCCTAGCAGAGCGGGGGAGCCAAGAGTGGCTGTTTTGAGGTGGCGCATTGCGGGCTTAGCGTTACATATTCTAGAAACTCGATCCCATGGATATAGAGGCGTCCGAAGCGTTTATGAGATGTGATGGTAGAAGTATGGAAGCTAAGAAGATGCGGAAGGAAGGGAAGAATGATTAAGATATGGTTACAGTGGCTCTGTGGAAACCGGCTAGATGCGGTAGATGGCGAATATGGTGGGGGGCGTTGAAGGCAGGGAATATTGAAAGAAATGTTCGGTAATTGGATATATCCAAGTCAACAAGGTACCTGTTGTAACTTTGCTAGTTGGTATACGTTGAGTGGGACTTTGGTAGAGGAATCGAGACATGTGGCTTGATGGTGGAATTGACGTGTCAATGAGGCAGAGTCACAACACGTGGTATACTGACAACGCCTTGAACTCTCTCTTATCTGATGTGATCTGGATGTATCACGTGAACTTGAGTAGATTGAGCGGGTTTGACCATAGTTGCAGTGAAGCTCTGGGCTACATGAATCATGATTATCGTGTAGAAGCTATGAAACTTCAAGTCGTGTGGGGTGCATTATTCTAGGCGCCAAGTGAAAACTCTTGTCGAAAAACGAGGACAGTTCTTGCATAACCTAATGCAAGATGTCCCGGTAATGAAAAGCTAGAGTTCATGATTCAATGTAGTGCTTATCAACTTGAGCAGGCTATAGGAGTGATATGATTGTCCTGCTTTCTTGACAATGTGTCAGAAATAGTCTCTGAACCGACTTGTTTATATAGAAACTAAACATCTTGATTTAGTATCACGTTAAAATATTTGACATTGGCTTGCAAGTCAAGTTCCACACCTTAGCGAAACGCACTTTCGGTCTCTCAAGCAGCCGGTCAAGTGTGGCCATGGCCACGGCCGATCATTCGCACGGCCTGTGCTAAATCTCCTTCAGCAGCCAATCCTCGAGCAGCTCCTCTTCGAAAAATGATGCAGGACGTGATGCAGAAAAGCATCTCCTGAGGAAGAGGTCCGCACTCTGCTCTGAAGAAGGTCAGCTGGTGCTTGATTCAATATCAGACATCGGTTCGCAGGGTGTTGCACCGATCGGGGATGGTGTTGAGATGGCAGTGCCAGAAAGCAACATCCCGAGGAGCTGGGATATCAGGGCATCAGTATCAGTCCGGCGGCACAAACGAGACAAAGACTGGAGGCAACACTTACTACAGGAGTGGGTCTCATGGTGTTAATCTGGCGGAAAGGACCGAGGAGTTTGACGTTGAGAGGTGAACGGCTATCTGGCTTCGTGAAAGGGATTATGCCTCCGGTTCTTGATAGTGTGTGGTTGAATGAAGCTGCCTTTCTTGTGTACCCCGCCAAGTCTAGGTTGATAGAATATAAGTAGAAGGAAGACAATCATTCCGTAACGTCTCGAATCTCGCTCGACATTTATATCTAGGACCGCTAAAGTGAGTTTGGCTCCAACCTTCTCAAAAAGACTTTGGAGTACTTGGCATCGATCCGTGGTATTGATGATTACGGGAACTTCCAGGGAATGCTCGTGGTTCATCCTGCCGCTAAGCCGGGTGCTTACCCTGCAGTAGCAGCACCCAAGATGAAGTCAGTTGCCCGGCTGGAGAGGAGGTTGGCTAACCAATCGCACTGCATTTCTCTTTAGATAACTAAGGATTGCGTACAACGATGGCTTCAGAATTCGTAACATGGAGTATGTTCTTTGGGGAGAAGAGGGCTGTGTTCCTTTCTGAGAGACCCTCTGTTTGGTTGTGTTCCACTTTCGGGCGACTAAATTGCGGCTCACCATCATAGCCTACATGCATCGCGGGAGATGAAATATCGTCAGGCCATTATTTTATACGTATTGCGCCCTTGGAACCAATACCGATGACATTGCATGAAACTCGAGAAATGCTCAGCGATACGTTGAAGAAAACGGCCCTGAGGCTTGGTCTCATTTATAGTTCCAGTTTTGATTGGGCTCGTGGATGGCCTACGGACAAGATGTTCTTCGAATCTGGCCATAATTTACCTCACCAGTATTGTGTAGACCGTGTACCAGGTCTGCTCGCGGGATACCCTCCGTCTTAGATGGAGGTGGACGGCCGGGACAAAATAGACGTTGACCATCTTGCCATCAAGATTGAGATTAGTACACCGTGATGAAGAGACTGTTCAGGTAGAATTATTTTGGCGTCAACACCAAAATTATAATGAGCTTGAAGTCCGTGTTGATGATGTAGGGATCCAAAGATTTGAATTGATCTACTTCATTCCATGCTTCATGATGTAACACATGGTCAAAATCCCTTGTCCGGACTATTAGAACCAAGGAGAGAGATCACGGATCGCTATACGCGAGACAAGAAAGAGTATGTTAAGCTCAGAGATGCCACACGAATCGGGCATAAGCCTAGATGGTAGGGAGGTTGAAGTTGAAATTGAAGTTGAAGTTGCAGTCAAGTTTAGTAGTCTATGGGGATATAACGTACCCGATGAGGGGAATTCCCGCTGCTACCCATCTTACCAAACCTACTCGGTCAAATGTTGCTTACAAAAATGATCATGAAGTGACACCTTGGAAAGGGAGTTTCTCATGCTATGGTTCGGAATTACGATCGGACCTCTTCAAGGCCATTCTGTCCAATTCTTCGTCATGACGTTAGCGGCTTTGTGGCTGCGGGCCAGCTTCGGCATTCTTGCCCGCTTACGGCCGAACACGCATGTGATATGTCCGCTTACGTCCGTCTCCAGAAGTCAACTTCACCTCAGCACCAGGACGGCCCATCTGGCTCATCCGCTGCTTCCCCTTCCACCCCAAGTCTGCCTGCAATCGCCATAGGCCCGAGACGTTTGAACCGTAATCAACTGTTCAGACATGGAGCGACAAACCCGTCGACGGCGCAGACCCGCTCTGTCATGCCTAGAATGCAGACGCCGAAAGATCAAGTGTGACCGCGACGAGCCATGTGGGCATTGCACTGCATCAAAACTCCGTTGCACCTACCGAGTATTCGGAAGTGAACCGGCAACTCGGCCAACGGTGCAACAAGCTGTTCAGCCAATGCAGTCAATTCACATGATATCGCCCCTGTCACAGGCTCCGACTGTTGTTCCGGCACATGAGTCCACAAACGATGCCAATGCCATCTCTGAGCCTGGACCGGCGCATTCTCGTCGTCGCGAGTCCAGTATTGGCGATGATGTCAGTGAAGAAGTCATCGTATCTGGAAACATGGCTCAAGCTTCAGCTGCCGAGCCCGCTCTCAGAGATCTCCTACACCGCGTCCAGAAATTGGAAGAAGTTCAAGTATCTGCTGATACGGCACGACGAAGCCGATCCGAAGTTCCCCAGCAAATGATGGGGAAGGATACAGATTCACGCGTAGTGTTGAAGAAGTCAAGAGTCTGGCGATGGAGTGATTGGATGGGTGAAGCTTCCGAAGTATGTTCTTTGGCTGTGATGGTTGCTAGCAAGATGCCCACTGCTAACATTTGAACAGTTTGACAGATTATTGGACTGCTATACAAGTTACGTCAAGGCTGCTGCAAATGAGAGTCATACTCCATTTCCAGATGCCGAAACTGAGGCCATGGCTATAGAGGCCGGAACCTTACTACGGAACTGCAAAGACCTAGCGAGGAGCATCAAAAGTTGGCGACCCAGCAGAAGCTTTGGCAACTCTGGAGTCAACCTGGCGGCGCCATCTCGCGAGGTAGCCGATACAATGGTAGATCATTACCTGGATTCATTCGAATCAACCTACCGCATATTACACAAGCCTACCTTCAAGGCGGAATATCAGCGGTTTTGGGATGACCCAGCTAGCGTCAAAACCGATTCGCGCCTCAAGATACTTCTCGTCATCGCGATTGGGTCAAGCTTACATGACACTGAATTAGTCGAGCCAGGATTTAAACGCCTGGCTCATCAGTGGATTTACGCTGCCCAGGCTTGGCTTTCCGGCCCCCTGGAAAAGGATCGATTGGGTATCAACGGCGTCCAGATTCACTGCTTGACCATCTTTGCACGGCATATATTATCTATTGGAGGCGATCTGGTATGGATTTCCACAGGAACACTTATCCATACAGCCATGCAGATCGGCTTGCACCGTGATCCAAGCCATTTATCGTCAATGTCGACGTTGCAAGCAGAGATCCGAAGAAGAATCTGGTCGACCATCTTGGAGTTAGTAATCCAGTCATCCTTAGATGCGGCAATGCCTCCCAGGATCTCTTTCGATGAGTTTGATACTCAACCGCCTGCAAACATCAATGACGACGAACTATTAGAAGAGTCGCGAACGGAGCTAAGATCACATCCGAGGAGCACTTACACGGATATGTCGCTACATCTTCAGCTCAGAGACTCTCTCTTGAGCCGGCTTCGAGTTGTTCAGTTGCTCAATGGGATACACCATGAGTTGTCTTATCACGTCGCACTGGAGCTGAGCTCGGAGATTACTCATGCCTGCAGGACCAACATCCACTTCGTGAGGCAGCACGAACGATCCGGAGTCTCTGTTTTCCACCAAAACTTACTCGATTTTCTCGTGCGTCGCTTCCTGATTCCCTTGCACTGCCCGTTCGCGAGCCAGGCACAGACAAACCCCCTGTTCCAGTACTCGACGAAGGCGACCCTTGACGCCACAATCACGATCCTGTCACCTGTGCCGGACGACAAGTTCTCTCGTCTATTCAGAATCGCGGGAGGCATGTTCCGCGAAGGCTACAGGTACGCACTTGCTACCGTAAGCCACGAGTACATCGCTCAAGCAGAGACGCAGCATCGTGATGGAACGCTGCAACGCAACGTCCAACAGAGAGAATTTCTGAAGAAAACAATGATGGAGTTGATAGAGATAGCGGCAGAGAGAGTAAGGTACGGAGGCGAGACAAACATCAAAGGTCACATGTTTCTCAAAATGATTGTGGCACAAATAGAAGCCATGGAAATGGGCATCCAAGGAGATTTGGAGATTGCGAAGAGCGCGAAAGAAAGTCTAGAATACTGCCACACCTTGCTCGAGGGTCAAGCAAGCACTGTGACGCCATGCTCAACGGCCGATGCAGATTTTGGATCCTCGGGGCTTGACCACGAACAGGGAGGCTTTGGATTTGACTGGGACTTTGACTTTTTTCTACCCGAAGGAGATTTTTAAAGTTCATTCAATTTGAAAGTTGATAAAAAAATCTCCGCAAAATTCGATTGAAAAGACTCATTACTATTTCAATTTTCTTTGCAGCTACAGTTTGACTAGCGACTGAACGTTCCTGCTACTTGTCACAGCCGTTTGACAGTCCCCATATCGGACCTTGGCCTTTGACCGAGAGTATCTACAGCTCGATCCATCGGCATTAGCTGACTTGTTGTCAAAGAAAGGGCGTTCGCAGTGGTTCGGCCGAGGCGGCTAAGACACGGACATAACAGCTCATTCATACGAGTGTGACTCCTCGCCACCTTGATTGATTAAAGTACTTAAGTGTGGTGACAGAATCACCTAACATCTCTTCTCATATCGATTAAAACACGATATAAGACATTTGCTTCATTTCTCCGCCCTAGGTACTCCTCACTATCCTTATACTTAATCACGACGTTCAATCAAACATGTCTTCTCCTTTGAAGATTCTTATCAGCGGCGGTGGAATCGCTGGAGGCTGCCTCGCCTTCTGGCTAGTCAAACTCGGCCATGATGTTACCGTGGTGGAATGGTTCCCTACTCTCCGCGCTACAGGACTTCAAATCGACCTCCGAGGACACGGCATTGAAGTCTTGAAGCGTATGGGCCTCGAAGAGGGATTCCGCGCCAAATCGGTTCCTGAGCAAGGCCTCCAGTTTGTCGATAGTTCCGGCCGAAGGCGAGGCCACTTCCCGATGAACCACTCGGGAAGTGGAGCGCAAAACTTTACCTCCGAGTATGAGATCATGAGAGGAGATTTGTGCCATCTCTTCTACGATGCCACCAAGGGCCGTGCCAAGTACATCTTTGGCACTTCCGTGGAAAGCTTCGACCAGAAGAACGGCGGCGTAGACGTACGCTTCAAGGACGGCAAGACGGAACATTTCAATCTATTGGTCGGTGCCGACGGCCAAGGATCACGTACGCGCAAGATGATGCTAAAGTCCGAAGCCTCTGACGGCTTTTACCCGCTCAGGGGTATTCACGCCTCTTACTTCACAATACCCCGATCAATAGAGAAGGGTGAAGAGTACTATTCGACGGCTTATTTCGCGACCAACAGCCGGATTGTAATGACTCGACGACACAGTCCAGAAGCGATCCAGGCGTACACTTTCTTCACATCTCATGACGAAGAATTCCAGAACGCTCGACGAACCCACGGAAAGGAAGTAAAGAATGTTGTTGTCAAGACGTTCAAGGGCGCAGGATGGCAAGTGGACCACCTCCTGGACGCGATGATGGACTCCCAAGACTTTTACTGCGAGCAAATCGGCTTGGTCAAGATTGACCACTGGTCCGAGGGGCATGTCGCCCTTGTCGGAGACGCGGCGTACGGACCATCCTCCATGACGGGCATGGGCACAACTTCGGCAATTGTCGGCGCCTACGTCTTGGCTGGAGAGATCGGTAAACACTGCGGATCTGAACGCGGCCAAGATGGCATTGAAACGGCTCTACACGAGTACGAAAGAAAGATGCGGCCTTTCATGGATCAAGTGCAGGAGGGCATCACAGATGACGCTTTTGTTTATAAGCTGTGGCCGACGGGACCCATTGGGATGACAATCTTGTACTGGATTATTGGAATTGTTTCTTTCTTCCACATGAACCTTGGGAAGTGGGTTCTAAAGGAGAGTGCGGTGAAGTGGAACTTGCCGGACTACAAGGAGTTGCTACTTTGACGAGACTTGCCTCAGTATTGAGGAGGAAGGTACGGGAAAATAGCAGAGCATTCATTTATATCTGTACATTATGAGACGAAACACAGCTCTGAAAAAACCTCCATGATTCAACGACAACTAATATGAGGCAATATGTACGGGCTTTTCAATATGTGAGGAGGTTTCAAGACCCTAGGGAAGTATTTACAAGATGGATGAACGAGGAATAGTATCTGTACATGCAGCTTTGCTTGGCAGTTTAGTTGTTGAAGGTATGTGTGTGGATGTTGATAGTATCAACCTTCCAGGTCTTGCCGTTGTCGGAAGTGGTAAGCCCAGACGAGTCGGCCTCATTGAGACCGAGGGTCTTGCCGAAGGTGTTATCGGCGGCGTTGAGTATGATGGTCGTACCTGTGTACTCTGTGAATGACAAGGTTAGTGAACCATGAAGCGAACAAATCATCACAGGGAGCACTTACTGTGAGCAACAACCGTACCGACACAAGCATCGTCTTGGCATTCAACAGCAGTACCCCAGCCCTCGGCGTTTCCGGAGCCTTTGCATTGTGAGCATTCATCCTAGTACATTGACATCGCCTAAGTCTTTGAGTTTTACTTACTCGTTGAAAGAGTCGACACCACCTTGCCGTTGAGAGAGACGGTCTGATCATACTTGCCAGTGCTGTCGTTGTATTTGTCTGTGTTATGGAGTCAGACTCGATTCATGATAAAATCCAAATCTGATGACTTACAGTGCATATTGAGCTTGTCACCGGCAGAAGCAGGAACTTGCGTGCCTCCGAGCTGCTCTCCTTGAAGAGTGCTGGCCCAAGTGCACCACTGACCGACGCTAGCACCGCAGTTCCTATGGAAGTTGTCAGCTCGTGACTTTGCCTTCTGATAGAATATACAAGTGATTACGCCTTGGGATCGCTGAAGGAGACAGCAAGAGCCTGGATAAGGTCACCGCCGCTGGTACCCATGCCGGGCCAAAGAGCAAGACGATCCTTCTGGGGACTTGGCACGGGAGGAAGAACGAGAGTCGTAGTCGCCTCACGGATCCAAGACTGAGTGGGACCGAGGGAGAATGCTGGTCCAAACCCGACCTTATCCTGAGCGCTCACCATATTGGCGGCAGCGAGGAGAGCAGCTGCAGCGACGTTACGCATGTTGACGGATATTCGGAGCGAGTGACTGAAGGCAGCAAGGGTATGCAGTCGAAAAAGATCGAAATCCGGAGTGAAGCAATGTCGAGGGTTAACGTAGACTGGAGTCTTAGGAATGGAACGACGACGGCAAGAAGCGCCAAGTACTCTTGGCAACGAGTGTAGGATTTATATGGAAGGCTGCTCATCGTTCTAGACTGCTTCGATTCATCCTAGATGATGCCCCCTTTACCCGTCCGGCATGTTTCTGCCGTATCCAGTCTCCCAATTAACCTGCTACCTCCCACGAGAGAACCAGTCACAAAACAGCCCAGTGGTGGACAAACAATTTCCGCGATGGGTTGTGAAGGCTGCGCCAGGGTCCACGCGACCTGGCCAGATGGTTGAAGGAATAATCCAAGCGAGAAACCCATTCTCATTTGGTAACCCCAATGGGGTCGACAAGGACAAGGCATCATGCTTACTACCATCAACCTCTTAGGCTCTGCAACCTTAACCTTCCCAAAAGAGGGTTGCATTCCCTCGGAACCATCACTAGCATGGCAAGACGCTCAACCACTAAGCAAGAGCGCGACAAGACCAACGGAGAAGCGTGCAGACGGTAGACAAGCCTAGAAGGAAGTACATGACTTCAAGCGTAGACTCGTCGATAGTGACAATGCAAGTGGAGTTCGCGTATTCAACGTGCCGCTTTTTGGATCCCCTTCAAGTGTGAAAAGACAAGATTGGAGACCCCCTGTCTAAGGATCGTCCGTTGAACCATTGCTTGGCCCTGCGAGCCGCAACTAGATTGAAATCCCCACATCGTCTTTTTTAGAGTCGCGATTAGTAATCGTGTCACGAGTTATGGCACGTAGCAATGGGCATACGGAGTATAGTAAAAGTAGCTTAACTATTAAAGTGGAAATAGATAAAAGCAAAAGGTCTATATATATGATATTTAAGATAGATACGTAATTTAGTACGTAACGGGTATTTCGTAAGGTACGATTACTATTTTTATTACGTAATATACCCCCTAATTACTATTACTAAGGAGCTATTATACCTAAGATAGAATCTCTAAATACTTTTATAAAGGCCTAATTTAGTCGAATATAAATAAAAGAAAAATAAGTATAAGGGATATGCGTTTTTTAAACCGCGTTTATTATAAATATATCTTTTTATTTAAAATAAATAGAATCTTAACTTAGAATAGCGCGTATTATATTACTTTTAGTATATAAATTATTAAGGGCGAGGCTACTTAGCTACTTTATATATATTTAAATTCTTACGGCGTTACCTAGTTATTATTTTTTTTCTTTTTTTTAACTTTTTATAGTTATTATAAGTACTCCTATTTATTATATATGCGCGCTTACGCTATTGAATTGTTTATTAATTTTATTTTAAATATAAATATTTAATATATCTAAAAATAATAATAAGTTTTACGTAATTTTTATAATACTTTTTATATATATATTATATAGTTTATTAAGAGTTTAGATAGGTAATAATACTAACGAGCCCCTTTAAGTTATCTTCCCTTTTTATAACCTCTTACTTACTTATTAAGGCCCGGCTACCGAGCTCTCTCTCCTTAATTAAGAGGATATTAAGGCTACTTATTAAAATACTAAGGACTTTATTAAGTTCGAGGCTCTTTTTAGTAGTTATAATAAGGGTAATAATAAGGTAAATAGTAATAATAAGAGCTTTAACGGGCTTTTACTTATTCCCCCCTCGGAGTTTAAAAATAAAAATAAGACTAGTTTAGATAATAAGCTTTTTAAAAAGGGTATATCGTATACTTATTATTTTAAGAGTTTATATTTAATATTATTTTAAAATTTAAAAAACGTAAGGCTAGCTCTTTTTAAAAAAGTAGTAAGAAATAAAAGAGAACGCTAAGAAGTAAAGGTACTTTTTATAATAAGTATAGTTCTTTTTATTATTCTAAGCTTATTTAACGTATATTTAGTTTTTAAGAAGTTTAAAAGAGAGGCTCCTAAGGAACAGGAGATTTAGTACTTACCCTATTTTAAAGTAGCCTTTTAGTATACTAATTTTAAAAATAGTAGTTATTATTTTATAAAAAGTAGTAGTTAGTATATATACTATTTTAACGGCCGTTTAGCCGAGGGGTATATTAATATACTAGTCGTTTTATAGCTAATAGCCTGGGCCCTTACCGAGGCTATTATAAATAATACTCCCTTTTTTATAAATATATTATCTTTTTTTATTATTAAGAAGCGTATTTTTAATTATAGTTTTAATAAGATATTACTAAGCTCTATAGTATTATCCGCTAAATAGATAAAAACTAAAAGTTATATAAGAACTATATTAGCTTTTATATAGAGGACTTCTTTAACCCGCGCCCCTAGTCCTTTTTTATACTTATTATAGTTATTTATAATTAACTTTTTATTACGCCGCCCGCTTTTATATTCTAAGTTATTAACTTAACGGTCGTTCTAACTCCCGTACCCCCTACTATCCCCGCTATTCTTAGTTTTATAAATTTTAAAGTACGTAAGATACGTTTCTTAGTACGCGTACTAACCCTCCTCTTTAATAATATTATACTTTTAGTAATTACGTATTTTATAAACTAGGAGTTTAAATAGTAAGTATAAGCCCGGGTCTTGTTTTTATATACGTATATCCTATAAAGTAAAGTTATTTTAGGAGTTTAGGCCTTTAGGTTATAAGAGGTTTTTATTTTATTTATTTTAGGCCTCTGGGCCGTACTCTAAGTTCTATTTATTATTTACTTTTAAGTATTAAGTTTTTTTAAGCGTGGCTTAAATTAATTATTTTTAACTATTTTAGCTATTTATAATGGCTTTTTACGTATTATAAAAGTTAAGAAGTATATAAAAATGTTCGAACTTAGCTCGTAAAAGGTTTTTAATAAGTCTATTTATTAGTATATTTTTTATTAATATATAAGTAACTTTAAAGCTATTTTTAGCATATTCTTATTTTAGTTATATATTTTATATATTAATATAGTAAAGTTAAGTAGTTATTTTTTTTTTCTTATAACAAGTTAAATTATTTACTAATTATTATAGTTAACTAATTATACTTTTCTTAGATTAAGGGTAATATTTTTAAAAAGGCGTTTTAAAGCTATAGTTTTTTTTATAGTTTTTTTAAAGTAAAGAAGCTTAGTTTTAGTAATTAACGTCGTAACTATTACTTAGCGTACTAATTTTTATTAAATTAGGCTACTAAAAAAGAATATTATATATCCTTAAGATAATCGTCGTATTATTTTATTATTTATAAAGCTAGTATTTTTAGCTAAAAGTAATAATTATGTACTTAGTATACTACTATAATAGAGCGTAAAATATCTCGTTATATAAAGATATCGGATATAGTAGTTAATTATTTTAATATAGATTATACTTAGGTTAGTTAGGAACCGTGATAATTACGAATAAGTAAAAGTAACGTTTAGTTTAATTATAATAGTTATATAAAGCATACTCCTAACCTTCTCTTAGTAACTTTTTATTTCCTTTTTTATTACTTACCCCTTATTTAGTTTAAACTCTTTTTAAAAAAGAGGGGTAGCTAAATATAATAAATTTATAAAGTTAAAGCGCTTAGTAACTCGCTTAATATATATATTATAAATAAAGTAAACTTTATAAGTAGTATAGTCTTATAAAATCCGTACTCTAAGAAAGTAATTAATCGGTCTATTTTTTTTAAAATTAATATATTTTTTTATACTATTAACGATCTCTTAAACTACTTTTTAGTTATTTTAATAGTATAAAATAATAAAGTTATTAACGTAAAATACTAATATTACCTTCCTATTTACGGTTTAGTAAATATAGATCT